GGATAGACAAAAATTAACGTTAAGAAGACCTGGGGGTTTGCTGGACTATCAGCCAAAACATCTAACAAAATATTGTCCTATGTTGAGACGCATAGCTTCCTAGAATAAAAAGGTAAAAGTTATCCTACATTCCAACCTGGTCAGACCACAGCTTTGTTGTGTTTAGTTCTCTACATCACATTTTACAGAGGCCATTGATAAGCTACAGAGCATGCAGAAGAGATAAATAAAATTACTAAGTGCCTAGAATTCAAGCCAAGTGAAGATCAGCTGAAGAATAAGCTGATGTTTAACCTGGAGAAGAAGAGTCTGGATAGCAATGAGATAATTAGCGTTGTAGAAACATCAGCAAAAGCAAAACAGTCCGTGTCCTCAAGGACCTTGTATTTTAATGTGGGAAGAATGTGTATGTATGCAAGTATATATATAATATATGTCAAATGAATACAAGTACTTTTGTTTTTTACGGGGATGGGATCTCAAGAAAGGGGATCTTCATGTAGGAGGTGATGCTTAAGCTGAGTCTTGAAGGAAACCAAGAATTCGGAGAGACCAAGGTGGGGAAAGAATATGTCTAGGTATGGGAGACAGCCAACAAAAACCATAGAGACAAGGAGATAGAATAATCATCATAGTAAACCTAATATCTATGTAGTGCTTTAAGGTTTAAAAAGCTTACTACATTTGATTCTCATGACAAACCCTGGGAGGTAGGTCCTTTTATTATACCCATTATTCAGATAAGGAAACGGAGGCAGGCAGATATTAAAGTAACTTGCCTGTGATCACACAACTAGTAAGTGTCTGAGGTGGGATTTGAATTCGGGTCTTCCTGATCCAAGTTCAGAATTTTACCCATTATGCTTCCTAACTGCCTCATGTAGAGAGCTCCACCTATCCTGGAGATGCTCTATCCTTTGTCTTTGGAGCTATCCAAAAATGAAATAGTTTGCTTTAAGAGGTATTGGGTTCTCCTTCACCAGAGATTTTCAAGCAAAGTTTGGATGACCATTTGTTGGGTATGTTTTTAGAAGGACTTTTGGGGGGTTATGAAGTAAAGAGGAGAGGCAGTTCCTTCCAATTTTGAAATTGTCATTTTTTTCTATATTAAAAAAGAGGCCCTCATATATATTTTAAAAGTTGCTGGCTCTAACCAAATACTTTTCATGTCCTTTACAAAGATAGAGTTGTTTTTTTTTTTCATTCTCATGTTTTTCTTTGCCTGTTTTGCCAAACTAGAATGTCCTTCATTCCCTCTAGTCTCATCTCTTTACCTCCTGAAATTCTACAAGACCTAGATTAAATGTGACCTCCTAAAAAAAAATTTAATAAATAAAAATTAAAATTAAAAAAAAAGAGGGGGGGAGGGGGAAATGTGACCTCCTCTCCCAGACCTTTCTTTATCACATCAGCCAAAGAGTTATTGGATCATGGAATTTGGAAGCAGAAAAGTGACCCAAGGTTTCATAGCTAGCAAGGAGCAGAACCAAGATGTAACTCAGGACTTGTGATTTCAAATTCAGCATGCTTTTGACTACATTATGTTGCTTCTAGTGAGCCCCCTATCCTGCTGTAGAACCTGTTCATATGAAAGATTCTTTTAATAAGAACTATGATTTCACTGATATTGAATGGGAACTCGGGTTGAGGAAATTCCCTTTAAAATGTAAATGAGCACCTAGGAAATGTATAGTCTTAGAGATTAAATGAATTGTCTAAAGTGACAACCACTACATGTCAGAGGTGGTGAAAGAACCCAGGTTATCCTGACTCCCAGAACAGCTTTCTATCCTCTATAACAAAATAAAAAAGCAAAACCTGCTAAAGCAGGATATATCAGTAAGAAACCTCAATCTAGTCAAGTTTCAATCAGTTGTGTGGCAAATAAAACTGAGGTAAGGCATGTTTTTCCCTGAAAGGGGAAGTTATAAGGGTAAGGAGTTTAGACTCACAGGGTATGAGAGTATGAAAAAGTATTAACCTATGCCAGCTTGAATAAGTCTTACAAATAGAATTAAAATCAATTTTCAATTTTATAATTTGCAACATTGCTAACATGGAGTATAATAACAACAGTAATAACTAACATTTCTATAGCACTTACCAGGCACTTTGCTAAGTGCTTTACAAATATTATTCCATTTGTAATTGCAACAAAGAAAGATCTGGGTTCAAATTCTACTTCTAAGACTAGGGGACCTTGGTAGAACCTGAGCCTCAATTTCCTTATTTGTAAATGAAGATAAAGTAAAATGAAGATAATAATCCTTGTCGTAGCTACTTCACAGCATTTTTGTGAAGTTTAAAGGAGATATTGTGGTCTAAGGGTGCTGGGAACCCCAAAATTCGAGGGCAAAAGGAATGGGTCTGCCTTGAAAGAATTCAACTCAAGCCTTCTTTCAGTCAGAGACAAGGTTTATTGTATTGTCAATAGAAGCAGGCCAGACTCTTAAGGACAGAGACTGTGGGATGATCTGGATGTGATCAAGGACTGGCCAATAGTTTGGGGTGACTGGAAGATAAGAGATCTAGATGGAATTAAGGAGTGGTGACATAGCCTGGGGTAGGGCCAGGTGCAGACAATGAGGGCCACAATGAAAGGGCAGTTAAAAGGATTATACTGGGATAGGCCGTGTGCCTCAGGCAAATGCCAGAGACTTGATTCAGGGTCTTTGGGGTCCTTTTAGGGGTCCAGTGCAAATCCCATCCCCCATCATAGATAATATATGAGAGTCAGCAAGTCAGAATGAGGAAAGCTGGCCTCAGAATTAGGAAGACGAGTTCAAGTCCCTTCTGTAACACATAGAGTCTTAGTGACCTTGTGAAAGAACCTCCCAGGGCCTTAGGAAACTCTCTATAAATTGCAAAGTGCTAACCTGCATTAGTAGAAGGTGTTTTCTCACCCAAGCGTTCCTTATCTAATCCTAATCTAATCCTAATCTCAGGTCCAGCTCCTATCCTCTAAGACTAGAGCTCTTAGAAAGACATAGTTTCTGGGTAACAAATCATTTTATTAATAAGGCTAGCACATTATTAATAAAAGGATGATCATTTGGCTGTCTCTCTAGACCAAAGACCCTTAATGATGGTGGGGTCACAGTTTACATGCCCTTGGAAAAGTAGGTATTCCTGGGGTATGGCAATCAATTTGTATTGATTAACACCATGGGAGGTATGGGCTACATTAAAATGAAGGTCTTGGAGTAGAGACTTAGGTCACTCAAATCTTGGTCCAAGAGACATCAATTTCCATATCACCTGTCTTGATAAAAGGTAGAATCAACCTTTCCCTGGATCTGTCAAAGCAAACACAATAAGCAGGAATACACCCATTAGCCCAAATTTAGAATTTCCATCTGATTAGATCTTGGCCTGGGGTAAATCTTTAAGACAGATTTCCCACCCTGATTGGTTTCTGGATGAGGAAGTAGAAAAGGGGAAAAACCTTGGTGCTAATACAATAGTTATTAAATATAAGAAAGAAATATTCATTTCTCACACTGGATAGATTTCAGGTACCTCTTGGAAGAGAAAAAAATACATCTTTATTTCAATATAATTGGTAATCCTGTGAATTGTATTTTATGTATTTAAAAACACTATTCTGTGAAGTGCTTTCCCCCAGTGAATTATTTATCTTGAGTTTGCTTTGTTTGCATGTTATCTCCCCAATTAGATTGTAAGCTCCTGGAGGGCAGGGACTGGTTTTTTTTGCTTCTTTTTGTATTGCCAGAGATTAGGACAATGCCTAATAGTACCAACACTATAGGTGCTTCTGGTTGTTTAGTTGTGTCGGGCTCTTCTCTATTTGAGGTTTTCTTGGCAAGAACACTGAAGTGGTTTACCATTTCCTTCTCCATGTCATTTTTCCAGACCAGGAAACTGAGGCAAACAGGGTTAAGAGACTTGCCTAGAGTCATAGAACTAGAAGTATCTGAGGCAGGATTTGAACTTAAGTTTTCTTGACTCTGCCAGGTCCAGCACTCTACTCACTTCGCCACCTAGCTTTCCAATAGGCATTAAATATTGATTGATTGATTGATTGTGGAAGGTTCCATATGCAAACGTCACTAGACAGTCAGAAGTATCCATCACACACGTACACAAGGTTAAGTACCCCTCCCCGAAGTTAGTAATGCACTCCTCCACCTTTAGAGCGCTCTATCTGTGGTTACTATCAGGACACTTGATTCTAGGCGTACCATATTGTAGAATTTTGTGTACCTGCCAGGCTTCCCCTAAAAGACTGGTCATGTGCTAGGAGGAATTCTTTTTTTTTCTTTCTTTCTTTCTTTTTTTTTTTTGGCTAGGCAATGGGGTTAAGTGACTTGCCCAGGGTCACACTGCTAGTAAGTGTCAAAAGTCTGAGGCCGGATTTGAACTCAGGGCCTCCTGACTCCATGGCTGGTGCTGTATCCACTGCACTACCTAGCTGCCCCAGGAGGAAATTCTTTTTTATTTTATTTTTTTAGGCAATTGGGGTTAAGTGACTTGCCCAGGGTCACGCAGCTAATAAGTATTAAGTGTTTGGTCTGAGGTCGGATTTGAACTCAGGTCCTCAGGGCCGGTGTTCTATCCACTGCGACACTGAGCTGCTCCTCCTAGTAGGAAATTCTTGCACAACAAACCTGTAACCCGTAGGTCGCCTGGCACGGAGTCAGTTAGCAAGTCACCAAATGCCTACTGTGTCCCAGCTAAGCGCTGGGGATGTAAAGAGAGGCCAAAAAAAAAGAAGTCCCTGTTCTTAAAGAGAGAGACCACAAGCACCAACCACGTACGAGCCAGAGCGAAGGGCGCCCCTTAGCGCATGCTCCGAGTCTGAGCAGCTCGGGGGCGGGGTCTTCCCGGGAAGCTTTGGCCGACTTCTCTCGGCGGTTCGAGCGGAACGTCCAGAGCCGGGCCCTTGTTTCCCCTCGTGGCACTTCCGAGGAGGCAGCCTCCTCCTCCTCCCTGCCCTTTGCCCCGTGAGGGGCGGGGCCGAGGACGGCTTCTGGCCTGGCGGCTCAGTGCCGGCGATGGCGTTCGCGGTGCGGCTGCGCGGGCTTCCCCCGAACCTTCGCACCCACCTTCGCACGCGGCTCCGGGCTACGGCGGGGCCCGAGGCGGTGGGCTGCGGGCGGCGGGGCGGTCCGAGCCTTCGGCTGGGTGGCAGCGAGGTATTTCCTCCGCCTTCCCCGGGTCGGTGTCTTAGGTGCCTGCGGGGGTGGCGCGGTAGATGGGGTGCTGGCTGGGCTGAAGGGCGGGGGTGAGGTGGGGGACGGACGGTGTGGAAGACCCGGTTTTGAATTCTGCCCCGACTCCGCCTCGTCACTTAACCGCCGTCGGCCTCAGTTTCCTCATCTGTAAAATGGGGATGATAGCACCAAGGGCTGTGTGAGGCTCAAACGAGGTACCGCGTGTAGAGTGCTTTGCAAAGCCTAAAGCCCGGTACACCTGCCGGCAGGTTCGGTCCCGGGCAGCGAAGAGCCTTCCGTCCCGACTGTCCTTAAATACCGGTTTATTTTCACTTTAAGTGGGGTTTGTTGGTTTCTGATCTTTGCCTTCATTTCTTTTTTTTATTTGTTAATTTATTTTTGTTTATCAACAATCACTTCCATATGCTTTTGAGTTTAAAATTTTTCTACCCCTTGTTTCCCTCCCTCCCTCCCCAAGAAGGTTCGCAGTCTGATATAGGCTATACATGTATATTCCTATTAAACATACTTTCACATTAGTGATGTTGTAAGTTAGATTTAGAACCAATAGGAGGAACCACCAGAAAGAGGAAACAAAACTCAACAGAAGAGGAAAAAAAATAGCAAATAGTATGCTTCGATCTGCATTCAAACGCCATAGTTCTTTCTTTGGATGTGGATAGCATTTTCCATCACGACTTTGCCTTCTTTTCTAAAAGAGACCAACAAACCCTGCTTAAAACTTTGACTCTTAAAACTGCTCGCTTTCCGACCCCTTGTAATCTGGCTTTCGTTGCCCAGTGCTCTTGGGCAGCTGTTCTTTCCAAAGTCACTAGTATATTGTCACCAAATCCAGCGTTCCCTTGGCAGACTTTCTACTTTACTGGCTGGATCCTCATACTTTGACCTCTTAGACATGGGTGTACCTCAGGCTTCTGTCCTTGAACTGTTCTTTTCTTTCTCTACAGTTTTACCCTTGACAACCTCATCTATTCCTATGTCTGGCTTCAGTTATCACCTCTATTCCTATGGCTCCCAAATCAGTCTCCTCCCTCTCATCTCCCCAGAGTGCTAATAATGTACTTCCAACTGCCTACTGGATTGTTTTACTTGGATATACATGTGGAGTTGCAGACAAAAGAATAAGTAAGTGTTCCATGATTTAGATATTTAATGACACTTTTATTCATTGCTCAATACAACTAAGGAGAATTGAATGTCTTAGTGTGCCCTGCAAACCTAATTCAGCTCTGCTGGTCATCCTCAACTACTTTACTCTTACAACCCCCATATCCCGGCAGTATGTGGCTTTTGTTTTGGGCTCAGTTCTCTTCTCCCGTGGATTCAATTATCATGGTTCAGTTACGCAGATGATTCTCAAATCGATTTATCCAGCCCTACTCTTCTGCTTGCTTCTAGTCTCACAGATCCAACTGCCTGTTGAACATCTCAAACTGGATGTCCCATAGACATTTTAAAATCAGCATGTCCAAAATTGAACTTATTTTTCCAACTAAACCTTCCCTTCTTCCTGACTTTCCTTTTACTATTAAGGGCTCCTCTATCCTCCCAGTCACCAAGGCTGGAAATCTAGAGCCCACACTCTCCCCTCCTGCAATCCAGTTTGTTGCCATGACCTTCATAAACTTTCTTGCCTACACCCCTTTCTTTCCTTTGATAGTGCTACCACCGTGGTTCACAGGCCCTTATCGCCTCATACCTGGGCTATCACTAGTGGGTCTGCCTGCTACAAATCTTTCTCCACTCAGCTGTCAAAGTGATCATAAGTGCAGGTCTGACTGTCACCTCAACTACTTAAAAAACTGACTATCATTGACATTCAGATAATTGATAATTGATAATCCAGTCCCCCTCTACCTTTTCATCTTCTTGCACATTACTCCCGTCCACACACTCTTTGATACAGTGACACTGGCCTCCTGGCTGTTCCTTCCCAAGATATTCCATTTCCTGACTTCATGCATTTTAGTTCTCCATGCCTGGCATTTTCTCCCTCCTCATCTCTGCCTCTTGGCTTCCCTTGCTTTCTTCAAGTCCCAGCTAAAATCCCTCCTTCTACAGGAAGCTTCTTCTGAGTCCCCCTAATTGTAGTACCAAATTTATCATGTATCTGCCTTGTTTGTACATAGTTGTGAACAAGTTGTCTCCCCCATTAGACTGAGAGGAAAGCAGGAACTGTCTTTTATCTTTCTTTGTATACCTAGTGTTTAGCGCAGTGTCTGGCACGTAGTAGGTACTAAAAAAGACTTGTTTTCTGACTGCCTGGAAGGGACATTTATATCATTAATTATTACCCTCATTTTAAAATTACATAACATTTCCCCCTCTCTGCTTGCATAATTGCATATCCATGTATTTGTTTACCTTTGACATAGAAATTCCAAGGGTAGAAGGTTCATCTTAGGTTTTCTGCTCCTCCCCCCCCAATCCCTCCTGTGGTACTTATACAGTTGCTTTCCCCTCTTTCATCTTATTCCTTTTTCCCAGCTGGTTTTGGTCCAGGTGCATTTCCTGTCTGCAAGTGCCCTTGTAATCAAGCTTTATCAAAAGCATGTAGTTCTCAGCAAATCAGTATATACTCACCTATTTAATTTTATATACTTCCCTTTGAAACTCCTTTTTGTGCTAGGTCCCAGTCTCACTCTATTCAGTTATTAGCTCTTAACAATTTATTTAATAGTATTTTATTTTTTCCAATTACATGTAAAGACAATTTTCAACATTCATTTTTGGAAAGATTTTGAGTTCCAAATTTTTCTCCCTTCCTTTCTCCCCTCCACATTCCCCAAGACAGTAAGCAGTCTGATAGAGACTATACCTGTGCAATTATGTAAAACATTTCCACATTAGTCATGTTATGAAAGAAGAAATAGAACAAAGGGAAAAAAAACATGAAAAAAGAAAGTGAAAATAGTATGCTTCACTTTGCATTCAGACTCCATACTTCTTTCTCTAGATATGGATAGCATTTTCCATCATGAGCCTTTGGAATTGTCTTGGATCATTGTATTGCTAAGAAGAGCTAAGTCAATCCTAGTTGATCGTTGCACAGTGTTGCTGTTACTGTGTACAATGTTCTCTTGGTTCTGCTCACTTCATTCAGCATCGGTTTATTTAAGTCCAGGTTTTTCTGAAATCTTCCTGCTTGTCATTTCTTATAGTACAAATAATATTCCCTCATATTCATATACCACATTTTGTTCAACCATTCACCAATTGATGGACATTCCCTCAATTTCCAATTCTTTGTCACCATAAAAAGAGCTGCTATAAATGTTTTTGTACATGTGGGTCCTTTCCCTTTTTAATGATCTCTTAATATCCCATATGGACCTAGTAGTGGTATTGCTGGATCAAAGGTTATGCACAGTTTGTTTGTCCTTTGGGCATAGTTCCAAATTGTTCTCCGAAATGGTTCAATCAGTTCATAACTCCGTCAACAATGCATTAGTGTCCCAATTTTCCCACATCTTCAATATTTATCATTTTCCTATTCTGCCGTATATTGGCCCATATGATAGTGTGAGGGGGTACCTCAAAGTTTTTATAATTTTCAGCAGACATTTATTAAAGTGTCTAGTATGTATACTGTTAAGTGTTTGCAAACACCAGCCATCCCCACCACTTGTCCAAATAGTTGCCAAATCCATTTGGTTCTGTAACCAACCCTTACTATTTACTCTTTGCCCTGTCATTTATTTTGAATCAGGACAGGTATGTAATAAGTAATACTGTTATACATATATTAAAGCAAATTTCAGAGGACTCTCCCTCTCTTAGACTCTCAGAGATGTGGTTAACTTTTTTAAACTAAATATTTTAAACTAAATGTTGGATTTTTTCAAACCAAAAATTTTTAGATATCTGGCTACCCCTAAGTATGTGAGTACAAATTTCTTTCTTTCTTATACTTTAAATATTTGCATCATAGGGTGGCAGAAAGGGCAGTGGCTCTGGAGTCAGAAAACCTGGGTTTAAATCCCACCTCTGATGTTTACTTAGTTGTGTGACTGTGGGCAAGTCATCCTCCCTAGATCTCAGTTCTTTCCTCTAAATAATTCCCTGTAGGCCAAACATAAAATGGGCTAGGTGGTCTCTGAGGTGTCTTCCACCTTCACAACTTCTGTCCAGCTTAATAAATCACCTTGTGAATTGATGTAGCCCAAGATCTCACACAAGATTACCCCATAGCAGCTAGCCTTATTCACTAGACTGTATTAAATCTTACTGTCTCTAAGAAGTGAAGAAAACCTTGATTATAAATGTTGTATTGGTGTGAAATTTGTCTCACTAAAGAATTTGTCAAAATAAGTAATTACTTTCCTTGACTATCCATTATCCTTAAGATGTGTTATTTAGGGGGAGGGAAGCAGACAGGAAAAAAAATGATGTAATTTTTGTCAAGGATATCAAGTCACATTTTGCAGCAGTTTGATGACTGACACCATTTGCTTCCTTAGATTCTTGGAAATGCTGTAGTTTTCAAAAGGGGCCTTATAATCTCAGCATTGTCTTCTTTGGGCTTTGAAACTTATCAACTGATTTCTCAGTCTGCTGTGGTTCACGCTGAAGTCAATGGTAAGTGTTAGTTCAGTGTCTTAAAAGCTTATTATTGTGTTTTTAAAAATGTAATGTTTGAGTTATTTTTGTGTGTACATATGGGTTTTGTTTTGTTTTGTTCTTGGCAAAATAATATATAGTAAAACAGGTATAGTAGGCATTGAACAAATATTTTCTGCTCTTGTGAACTTGGTGGTGTGGCATGACAATATGCCTTATTTCTGTCATAATTTGGGCTGCCTTTTAATAATAGATCAGTGGTATCTACCTACAGTGATATAAAGAGTCCATATTACCAGCATTATCTATTGCCTTCTTTTTGATCTACTCAAGAAGGAAGAAAAAGAAGTATAACAACATGGGCTTTGAACAGAGGATAACAGTAACAGGCAACGTACATAAATAAATATTGAATTATAACAAACACAATTAATTAAAAAGTTAAAAAAAATCAAATAGGTTTTGATGTTTTGATGTGAAATAGCCAATGTATAAACAAATCAGAGCCAGTATATATTTAGACATAGCCATAATAAAATTTGGAATATTCATGTATCTTTTTCATTGGTGAATTATCCATGACCCTTGTTTTCTGTCATTCATGAAACCTACGACCACAAGCTAGATAGGTAAAGGAAAAAAGAATTTTCCTCTAATCCGTTAGTTTTGCAACATAGTCCTGTTAAAAGTTGTGGTAGGTAAGGAATTTGAGGCTGTTAGTCAAAACGATTATCTTTGGATTTCTCAGTCTTCTTTGCTGGATTACCATCTTTGACCCATCCCCATGTGTGAATGTAACTTAGGACTCTGGCTTGGGCCCTCTTCTCTCTATCATGTTCCTTGGAGATCTCTCAACTTCCATGGGTTCAACTCACATCTCCCTGCAGATGACTCCTGTGTGTATATGGGTAACTTTCATCTTTCTCCTGAGGTCAAGTCCTATATCCCCAATAGCCTACTGTACATCTCCATCTGATTGTTGTCCCATAGACTTCTCAAATTCAGTGTGTCCAAAAGAGAACTCATACTTCCCCACCTGACTCACTTCTTCTCCTGACCTGCTCTTCTTTTTCTTTTCACTACCCTTTCAGTCACCTAGGTTCACAACTTCAGTCATCCTCATCTCTTCCTTTTGTTTCTGCCCTATTTCAGCCATTCAGTTGCCAAGACTTGTCAGTGGGAAAAGATGGATCATAGGGAAATAGATAGAGAATTGTAAGAGAGACCATATAACCAAATTCCCTCATTTTACAATTAAGGAAACTGAGATCTAGAGAGGTGAAGGGATTTGGCCAAGGCCACCCAAGTAAAGTAAGCATCACAGGGATTTGAACCTAGGTCTTCCGATTCAGAATTCATGCCCTTTTCTCTGTACTGCCTCCTCTCATCCGTCCCATTCTCTACTTGCACAGCCAGCCACCCCAAGTGCTCCTTAGCTCTTGGCTGGACTATGGCATAAACGCCTGCCCCCACCCCTCACCCCCAATTGATCTTTCTCTGTCCAGTCTCTTTCCTTTCTAATTCATCTTCTACACAACTGACACAGTGATATTTTGCACAGTGTCTAGCATGAAGTAGGTACTTAATAAATGATTGTTGATTAGTTGATATTCCTTTTTTTTTATGTAGGAAAACAATTTATTCCATGATAAGCACTTACAGTTAGTCATAGACAGTAACAGGCTGCTGGTTGCACAAGAAAAAGGAAGAAAAGAAGCCATCCAGAATTTTAAAGCACTTGTCAGTTACCAATTGTTCTGTTTTCAGATTACTGAATAATCTACCAATAGTATATCTGTCAGGTAAAAACATATACCTTCTTTATAACCTGGTGGTTCCAAGTAAAAAAAAATTCACAGAAAGTAAAGAAATAATATGAAAACATAGCTCAAGAAATACGATTAGTTGATATTCCTAAAGCACAGATCTGATTATGTTATTCCATTTTTTAGTAAGTTTAAGTGGTTCTCTGTTGCTGCTAGCACAAAGTGCCACTGAAGCTCCAGAGCAGTCTTGGTTATACCACCAACTCAATCTGGAATCTTTGGCAAATATTTAATAAGAGTACATTATATTTCTATAGTACTTGAAGCTTTTTAAATAGTGTACAATATTGTCATAAAATATAGGCATTGGAATTATAAGGGTTCTTAGAGAGTGGTCAGACAATCAATAAGCAATTTATTTATTAAATATCTGTTATGTGGCAGGGATTGTGCGAGGTGCTGGGGATAGAGAGGCAAAAATGAAAGTCCCTGCCCTCAAGGAACTTAAATTCTTTTGAGGAGACAATGTACACACACGAATGCATGCAAGCACTCACATCTGCACATAGCAAATACAGAGTAATGTGAGAGGGAAAGCTGTAACATCTGAGGAGATAAATAAAAGCTTCACGTAGAAAAGAAGTGTTAGGCCCATGACACTCCTGAGTGAGGCCAACTCCAGATTAAAATGAAATTGGGAAATATTTAACAAAATAAATAAAAATACAACAAAATACAGATAATATTATACTTTTAAACTAAGTCATTGTGTGGTCCCCAGCGATCCTTACGTATGGATTAATGTCCTCATTTCTGTTTGAGTTTGACACTATTGATTTAGAAATGGGCACAAGTTGAACTGTAAAGGAAGCTAGAGATTTTAAGGTGGAAATGAGGGAAAGCAGTACAAGAACATGGGTTTAGAGTTGGTATGTCAGGTGTGAGAAAGAGCAGTTTGCCTGAGAGACAGGAAGCATCCTGTATTCAAATTGTAAAGGAAGACTCACCAAGAATCTCATCATTTAGAGATCATTAAATCAGATCCCTTCATTTTCATAAATGAGGCAACTGGAAGTCAAAGAGATTAAATGACTTGCCCTAAGGGCATACCTGTAAGTTAGTATCAGAGTTTGGGATTTGAACTCAGGTCCTTGGACTTAATATCTGTGCCCTTTCTACTCTATCACATTATCTTCTTTAATTTTCATAGCAATCCTGGGAAATAGTTGAGACAATAGAAGAAGAAATTGAAACTTAAGGAAGTTAAACAGTTCAACTAGTTCTTTATCTGGTTAATAGAAGAACTAGTACTCTTTTCACTACATGACTCCAGTCTCCTTCCCAGGCTGGAAATAGTTGTATTAGCAAAATGAATGACTAGAAAACCAAATAAACCATTTTGAAAATTAAATGAAAGGTTAATATATTTTTAAATGAATATGACTGATTTTTTTAAAAAAGAAGCTTCTGTAATGGCAGAGTATAGTTAAAGATGTTCATATCTTTAGATTTTTGAAATATTTTATTGTAATATTTCTAAACATTTTTTTACTCTTTAAAATGAATTGCAGTATCATTTATTTATAGGTTTTTATTTTATATATTCTCCAGTATGTTTTGAAAATCGCTTTTGATACTTTACAGCAGTCTCCTTAAGCAGACCTTGAATATTTTGAAGATTATTCTGAGAGTTTAGGATATTAATTATTATTTAATTATCCTAATTTTCTTAAACTAAAAGTTGGATCATTCATTTCTAATTTTCTATGAGATAATCCTGACCACCAATTTTGATTGTTAAAGATAGGAACTAAAATAGGTAATTGTAGATTATCTTAATTACCTTTTAAAACAGAATAATTCTATGAAATTTCACATTATTAATATTTACAAATTTTACATTGTTCCATATAATCATTCTAAAGTAATTTACTCTAACATTTGTTTACTTTATAATTTCTAATCTTAGTATCTTTTGGCAATTAGTATCTAATTTCATGATAATCTGCAAGCAATTAGTGAAAAATGATTTCTTTCTCTAGATCTTTTTTTAGTGCTTGGTCACATAAATTTAAAGTGTTTTGTCTGCTTATTGGGATTAATTCATATGCTTTTTGGCCCAGGGGTTTTAGAGATGAATTAAAGATTGTTTTATTTAACATTTAAGATAGTTTTAATGTGAATCCAGTTATGTGGGAATGAAACTCAATTTAAATCAGTCACTGGGTGATTTTTGCCACTAGGTGGCGCCAATGATTAACAGTGATTCTCACCACCCTCCAACCCTCTGCAGGGATCTGGACAGCCCTAACAAGTCTTGTAGCCTCTGCTGGAACACTTGGAGTGACAGGATACTTGATACTTTGTTTTCCATTTTTTAAACAAATCTAATTGTTACTCAGTTCTTAAAGTGGAGCTTCCTTTATAGAATATGCCTTATTACTCTTCTACCTGACAATTTTTGAAATATTTGAAGGCAACTATCCTGTCACTATTTAGTCTCCAAGCTATGACATCCCTCATTCCTTTAGCTATTTCCCAGACGATATGATTTCAGGATATCACATCATTTTAGAAATCCTTCTCTGCAAATATTAAAGTTTTATCAATGTCTCTTAAAATTTAGTGCACAGGGGGTAGCTAGGTGGCGTAGTGGATAGAGCATCGGCCTTGGATTCAGGAGGACCTGAGTTCAAATCTGGCCTCAGACACATAATACTTACTAGCTGTGTGACCCTGGGCAAGTCACTTAACCCCATTGCCTAGCCAAAAAAAAATTTAGTGCCCAGGAACAAAGATGATACTATATGAGACACTTTCATTATATAACTAAAATGTGGGAAAATGAATTCTCCTGGGGTGAATAAAGTAGAATTATATGCTGTTAGTGCTAGAAGCACCTTGGAGAGGTAACACATTGAGTTAGTGGTGGGCTAGAGTTCAGATCACCATTTTTCTAGTCCGGTACTCTTCTGCTCTACCGAGACAAAATTAGTTGCATGCACAATGCTTAAAAGAATAGAGAAGCTATTCATTTCTGTGGGTCAATCTTCTTTCATTTGTTTAAAAAATGAATTTCTTAAGGAGTTCCCGTCTCTTTCTTCATTAGGTGGTGGTACTTGCTGCTTCTGTCTACTTTATTAGGTCATTATTAATTATGATTAGGTTCATTAGGCCTTATTTTTTTATTAGCCATTTAGAGACTTAGAGTTCAGGTGCTGTTAACTCTGCTTCTTAACACCTAGGTAGGAGCCCCAGAAATGTGGTCATGGAGCCATGTCAGTTGTACACAAAGGAGTATTTAACATTCTTTCAGGAGCGAAATCTGTTGTTTGGCAGAAAGAATGCAATTACCCCTTCAAATGAGACAACCACAGTTTACTTGCTTGTGTATATGTAGAAAAACTATGGCTTGTTCTTTCAAAAGTTTGAGGAAATATTCAAGAAGTATCTCTTAGACATCTTTGAGGTTAGTAACTAAATTTAGAATTTCATTGTATGATAATAAGTAGAATTACATCCCAAGTTCTGTTTATTTTAGATTTTAAAATGAAGTTTGGTCCATTTCTTAGAGCATGGCTTCTTTATGTCAATAATGTAAGCTTATTTTTAAAATATTTTCAGGAAAAACACAGAACATTAAACAAGTTTAGAAAAAAAAAAACACACCTGATTTGCAGATAATGTGGAGTGGTGCACATGTTCCCACCATAGTATGTAAGTCTATAGTGTCATAGTAAGTGTATTTTTTTCTTATTGACTGTACACTTTTGACTTTCATGAAAATTAGGAAGTAATATTTTAAAAGACTACATTTATGTCATGATACTGAACTGTATTATTTAAGAAATTAATTTAGAAATTAATGATTTAAGAGAGTATAAAGTGCGTATAATAATTAGTTGAAATAATTAACTAAATTTATCCATAAATTTTTGCATATTGCCTCAGTCGAATGTGGAATTCATAGCTCAAGTTTTAAAAAGTGTCATCTTTCTCTTATGTACTGGTGCTCAGGATTACTCAGTACTCTACATGTTTAGTAAGTAACACATCATGTTACGTGAACCTCATTTAGCATAATTAATTCCATTGTTGCTTAACATCAGATAATAAGACTACTCTTTAGTCGTTATAAAAGGATTTATGTTCTTAAATCCCAGTCTTTTGAGATTGAATGATTGATGGAGAAACAAATTAAAAATAAATGAGATGCATAGCAAACTTGTAAAATTAAGTCTGCCACATGATTTTAAAAAATATTCATCACGGAATCTAACGAGATTAAAGAAAGTTATCAGGAAAATCTGATGTGTTTGTATGTACAGGAATATGTATATGTGTATATCTACATATTTATATATATATCTGTATATATGTATTGATATACATATTTATACTTACATAACCTTTAAATAATTTTTTATTAGATAAGGCACACAAGTTAAAGATTAGATTAATTCATTGCAACAATTCAGTAAACAGTGTCTACTATTTGTGAGGTACTGCACCAAGTGCAGGTGAAACTTTGAATTAAATAAAATTCAATAAAAATTTGAATTGAATAAAATTGAATAAAAAATTGAAATAATGCAGATTCTTCTCTCCAAGAACTCTGCATTCCACTGGGAGTACTGCATATGGAGATAAAACATGTACAAAAATAAGTGTAATGCCATGAAAGGAGTGAGGAAAGGAGTGGGACTGGGAGGAAGAATTTAGACTGAGTGTTCTTGGAAAATTTGAGGTAGGAGAAAATACTTTCAGCTAGAGGAAACAGGAGGATTTATGATGTGACACCTGACCTAGGCCTTGAGGGAAGAGGATTTTGATAAATAGAGGTAAAGAGTAGGAGTTTTGGTTCAACACAGGAGATAAAATGTAGAAATGTATGGAGGTGTGAGATTAAATGACATTTAGGGAACTGTAATATTAATTCCATTTGGCTGGAATATAGGCTTCTTGAATAGAAGTAGTGTGAAATAATGGCGGAAAGGTATTCTGGAGCCAGGTTATAAAAGGCCTTGAAAACCAAACTAGGTGGTTTGTATATTACTCTAAAGACAGTAAGATGGATCTGCTGAAGATTTTTGAGCAGAGAAGCATCATGATTGTGCTTTTAAAAGATAATTTGGTAGTGCAGTAAAAAAGTAGATTGGTGAGGGGAGAGACCAGTAAAGAAGCTACCCTCATGGTCCAAGTGGGAGGTAATAAGTTACCTAAATTGATGATAACTGTTTGAATGGAAGGAAGGGGATAGTTTTGAGGAATGTGATAATGGTAGAATCAACATGACTTGGCAAACTAGATTTGAGGGGGTGAGGGAAAGAGAATTGTCTGAGTTGACCCCAAAACTATAAGCTTAGGTGACTTGAAGAATACTGGTGCCCTCAACAGAAATAGGGAGGTTTGAAGGAGGAGTGAATTTAATGGAGAAATCTGATAAATTCAGTTTTGGTCACATTGAGTTTGAGATTTTGGTTAGTGTACATTCTTAGAGAAACAAAAAGCCTTAGTTTATGGTAAAACAGTATTTTACTGCTTTTCAAAAACCATCCTTCCAGTGATAGGCACAAAACAATTTACAAAATTTGGGATTTTTGAAATTATATCTGACTTCCTAATTTTTTTTATGAGAGTATGACTAAAGAAATAAATGTTTAATTCCCTTATAGGTCACTTTTTTCTCTTTATGTTCCCAGAGTGTAACAGAGTGCTTTGCATACAGTAGACACTAATAAATGTTTGTTGAGTTGAATTGGTTTAGTTAGCTTCATTCAGTTACTTGGCCACAGTTTACTTGCTTAATCTTTTTAGATTTTAACAGCTTTAGAACTGTTTCTTTTATAATGAAATCGGATGAGATAGTATGGTTGAATAATTTAGAAATTTACCATCTTGACTGCTGGAAAAACAACTTCAAACATATATCTTAGTAACTCTAGGTCAGTATCATTATCTTTGTCTATAAAGGATGATAAAATTGTTTTAAAAAGCCATCTCCAAGTCTTTGTAGGTGAACTTTCCTTTTTCTTGTGTGTAAGGCTTGCTTTTAGCTTCATTTAGCTTAAATGAAAATGGTAAAGTTTCTATATAAACACTGTTTCTATGTAATATTAGACCATTAAGGTATAGCTCAACATTAGGTTGTGTAAGACAAGTAACCTGCATTTTTATAGACAGAAATGTGATTCCAAATTCTTCATATTCCCATGGTTTTTATATGCAGTTTATTTTGTCAGTTCTTTATGTGTTTCTATTTTTGCCCTTTTCTTTTCTAAAACTCCCTGCCTTGGTTTTCTAGTTTTTATTACATAGGTCATTTTATGTCATAGTTCAGGACTGTTTTTATTTTTCAGTTGTTTTCTCCTTATGGATATTAGTCATGCTAACATGATGTTGGAAGTCAGTATTATTCTGGTATTGTTTTGCATTTTATAACAGTGAGAGTCATCAACAATGATGACAATTATAAGAAATAGAAAAGTTTGAAGGTACCATGGGGTAGTTTTCATTATTATGGTTGATTCTCATCAGGGTGATTATCATCATTAATACATTTTTCAAGTCTTTTATGGTGTATTGTTTGATAGAATGTCAGTATGTTTTTGTCTTTCAGAATCTGTAATCTAAGCTTTTAGATGACAACCATATGTAATAACCACATTTATTGTTTTGGAAGTGTTTTATATATCTGTATATGTATATCTACCTACATTTGTATATACCTATCTATCTAGATATTGATGTACATATATCTATATATGTAGATATGTGGATAACTATATATAGGTATAAATATGTGGATATCTATATATAGATATGGATAAATGGATATCTGGATCTATATTTACATATATATGTATGTATTGTATGTTCATATTCTTATTAGATAGCATTGTTAGCATCTTTAATTTGGCTAAAACTCTTATTTATTGTCTCTCCCCTTACATGCTCTGAAGTTGAGGAAATCCTTGAACAAGCAGACTACCTATATGGCAGTGGAGAAATAGAAAAACTTTATCATTTGCTAGCCCAATACAAACAAAGGTATGCAGTATATAGTAGCCTAAGTTTTTTGACTGACATATCTTTTTCAACCTCTTGCCTTTTAAAAAGTAAAATGATGTTTCATGTTTTGGAGATTTTTTTTAGATGACTATTGTGTCCTATATTTCAAATTGGCATTTTTTTTAATATGGTTAGAAGCTTAATTCACTGTGTAGTATCTCCTATCTTACATAGAAGAAAAAAAGGCATGTTATGTGACGGAAATACAAAAACAAGTTAAAAAAAAGCAAGTTCGTGCTCTCAGGGAGTTTACTTTATTCTAATAAGGGAATACACTTAAAAAGGAGATGACAAGGAGAGTTTGTTTGGAGAAGTCATCCAGGGAGTATCAAGCTGTTTCAGGTTTGAACTAAGCATGAATGGTGTAAGCACTTATTCACATGGAGGTTGGCAAGATACTCGCCAGAGAAAGAGACCATTGAAGTGAGGGTGTTGCCATTCTGGCCACTGGACAGAGGTAGAGAGGTCATTTAGGAAGTAATAGGCTAGTCAGATTTTAAAGTGAGCATGGATGGTGTGGGCTCTTTCTCAAATAGAGGATATTTTTGAAACAGAATTACTATATTTACCTGATTATTTCTAGTTTACGGAAGATTGGTATTCTGTTGTCTCTACTTGTAAGTTGAAATATCATTTTTCCTATTCATTGTACATGCTAATTTCACAAGTGTAAGGAGTTACAATGTTGTATAGTGTATTTAGAAAAACAAACAGAAGAATATGTTTCTGATTCCTTTTCTTTAAAAATAAGCCTAATTTGCATTTGCTTGAAATAAAACTATTGTTCTTCTTTAAACATAAGTAATATATATTTACTTTAAATAAGTTATTTTTCCTTCCGGAAGATTTCATCATTATCAACAAATAATAGTACCCTGATTAACTAGGTTATTTTTCCCAATAATAATATGCCTGACTAATGCTGTTATAAAAAGTTTATGCCAGAGTCCTTGAATTATACAAATACTACAACTAATATAAAATGTTAAAAATAAAAAGATTAATCTTATAAAGTATTGAACTAATGAGATACTTTTCAAGAATCTAAAATTATCCTTCATTTTCTCAAGTTCTTTATTTAGGTAGTTTCTAGTTTGTGAATTTATAGTCATTCCATAGGAAATAAAGTTTACCTAATATTGCCCCTAGAAATTAAGAACCAGGTTATTAAGTCATATATATGTATTTTGTGATTAGGCTCATAGTATGTTTTACTGGTTTAACTTTTTGTAGACTGTTTATTGAAATCACAAATTTAATGAAATGTTCTCCAAAGATCTGAGTAAGTGTAAAGAACAAATTACTTAAGGAAGTGCTTTGTGAATGCAACTCTTACAACATTCTTCAAAAAATTTTATAATGATTGTTACATAGTATTTATACCTACTTCAGTCATTGAGCAGAGAGACAGATTTGATTTATGATAATGATTTGTAATCATAAAAGATAAATGAATACAAGTGAGGTTCCATAATATATTTCAAACCTAGTGAGGATGCAGAATTGCTATGGCGTCTGGCACGGGCATCCCGAGATATATCTCAACTTAGTACTACCTCTGCGGAAGATAAGAAACGGCTGGTATATGAAGCTTTTGCATATGCAAAAAAAGCACTTGAAAAAAACGAATCAAGTTCTGCAGCTCACAAGGTAAGATACCTAGAATATGTGACATATGAAAAATTTGAGAGATAATTTCTGGGTAATTATTTTATTAATTGTGGCTAGCAAATAATTAATAAAGGATGGTCATTTGGCTTTCTCTCGTAAACCAAAGACGAATCATGGTGACCTTTCAGCCCTTATATGTCCTTGGAAGGCTCTGTGTTCCTGAGGGGCAGAAATCAACTCTGATGGGTTAACAATTAATGAGAGAATGAATATTATAATGAGAGGTAGACCTATTCTAATGAGGGGCTAAATTCTATGAACCCAAAAGACAACTTTATCCAAAGTCCTTTTATTCAGAACAAAATCTAAGAAGGTAACTTCTAACTAACCATAGCTAAGGATGGACTGCTGTGGAGTTTCCAAAACACTTAATTATAGAAATGACCAGAGAAGAAAGGGTTCAATCTAGGAAGGACTCTGTCCTTGAAGCTGACTGTTTTTTGAGGACTAAATTTTGAACCATTATGTCAAAAGTAGTATTTCTAAAGCTATGCTTAATACTTGTTTTCTTTCTTTTTTTATTTGTAGTGGTATGCTATCTGTATCAGTGATGTTGGAGATTATGAAGGTATCAAGGTTAAAATTGGAAATGCCTTCATTATCAAAAAACATTTTGAGGTACTGGTGAATTTTAATTGTTAAAATGAAAAATTCATTGGTTTTTTTTCTTCATTTAATGTAGTTCTAGTCCATATAATGGGCCATATGACTCTCAGACTGGACTGGAGTCTAGGCTGATGCTCCTATAATTACTTTTGAATTGTCAGCTTTGGAATATGAAGAGGTTTTTCATAAAATTGTCAATTTATCTTTGTAGATATGGCTGGATAATATAACATATACATATATATTTCCTGACTATGGCCACCCTTAGGTGGTTGGTATACTCTCCACACTACTTTGTATCTTGTGTACCAAACCTCACAGTGCTTGTTAGTTGATGGTTTTTTTAAAAAGCATTTGTTGTATTGAAGCAAAAATACTGTTTTTAGAGGCTGTCCTCTAACAAGGTGTATTGGTGGAAGCATCTAAGATACCCTGAAAGATGTAACAACAGAAATAAAAATCTATTCTGTTATGCTCCAATCATTAATATCAAGCAAAGCATGAAATAAGATCTATATTCTCCAAAGATGTTTGACCTTCATGGATGAGGTCCAGCATAGTACAAGTTAAAGAGACATTCCTATGGTTATTGAGGTCCTCCAGACATTCCTGCTGGTAGATGACATTGTGTTAATTGCATTAAGCCCTGGAACATTTTAGAGGTTCCAAAATAAGAGTCATGAAGTCTAAAAACAGTTTAGGATGACTATCCCTACAGGAAAAATTAAATGGACATAGCATGCCTATTTTCTAGACTTTGACATACAGTTTGATGGACAACGTATACAGCTCATTCATCAGTACATGTATCTGGGACGGACTTAACAAATGGACAGTAAGCTGACCTCAATTAAATAGGAGAAGGGGGAGCAGGCTGGATTACTTTTGGGAAATTGCTCAGTGCTTTTAATGATCCCATACTTCTTCTTTAATCATTGGTCAATCTTTTTAACACCAGTTTTCTTCTTTGTGTTACTGTATGGCTGCAAGTCATGGAACACTACAGTCTACAAAAAATTGATTTTGTGGATTATCCAGAGAGCAGTGATAAGGGTCATGGCTATATGAGCAGGTTGTAAAAACATTATAAATGAAGAATTATGCAGAAGTAATGAGAAAGATGTTATCTGAGAAATGGACCAAAAAAATGGACTAGTTACATTGCAAGAGTGTAGGACAACCATGAATAGCTTATGTTCCCCAAAATGCCAGAATAGAGAGAAGGAAGACTCACCTCTTATCCCCGTCCCAGTACATTGAATGGACTCCCTTTAGTGAATTTATGGGTGAATGAGTACAGTAGCCACACAGTATGGTAAGGCATTGAATGGATTACAATCTACGTCATTGTGGGGAATAACTACATTAGGAAAATCATAGATTCATTGGGACAAGAAGGCATGAAGGTACCAGTGGTTTGCCTTTTAATCTTAAACTGACTTCTGTTGTTGTATTATTTATACATATCTTACTTTTCTCTACTGGGACCTTGGGAAAAAGGTCCATGTTTTATTCATTTTATATCCCTCCACAGGACCTTGAACAAAACCTTGCCTGTAATGGGTAAAAAAATAAATGTATAAAAATAAGAAGGAAGCATGTATGGGTTTCAGTATAACTAGAATGAGTGCCCACACTTACAAAAGTATGGCTCTGTTAAGGTACCACTGAAGTATGTACACATGTATGAGTCTTACTTTGGGAGAGAGGAAGGACCTCATGCTCACACAATATTTACATGCATATATGTGTGTATATGCATATATATGCATGTGTGTGGGAAAGGAATGGACTCAGATAATATGTGCCTATATGTATGTGCATGTGTGTGCACAACCACTTGATTGCATATATACATATATGTGTGGACATAAATATATGTACACATATACGTTTGTATATGTATATCTCCCACCCCCAAAAAAATATTCTCTGCTATTCTCTTGGGCCATGTGTATCTAAATACTATTAGAATATATTTTCTCTCAGCTTCAGTTTCCTAATCCATATATTGAGGGATAGCTAATAGTAATAGCACCTACTTTATGGCTTGCTGTGAGGATCTAATGAGATAATCTGTGTAAAAGGCTTCACAAACCTTAAGTGCTATACTAGTCACTCAACAAGTATCTATTAAGCCTCCATGCCATTTCCCAGCCATCTGCACTTTGGCCCTACTCCCTGATCATCTCTACCCTTCCTGAAATTCAGAGTCTACCCCTGAGCCCTCAACTCTGATAGGTAAACTTTCACTTTAGCTTGCTGGAACCTAAGCCTCCATGATTCCTCCTGGTGGTCTTCTTACCAAGGTCATCCTTCACCCCATTCCTGCCTTTTTCAGGATGGATTACAGTAGGAAGAGGCATGAGTCAGAAACCATTTGGGAGTCTACTGAAATAAAAGAGGAAAGGTGAGGAGGCCCTGAACTAGGATTATGGCTAAGGCTAAATTGGCTCTTTTAAAAGTGGTCTTGAGGGCAGCTCGGGACGCAGTGGATAGAGCTCCAGCCTTGGAGTCAGGAGGACCTGAGTTCCAATCTGGCCTTAGACACTTGACACTTACTAGCTGTGTGACCCTGGGCAAGTCACTTAACCCTGATTGCCTCGCTGAAAAAAAAAAAAGTGGTTTTGAGCAAATAAATTATATAAGCGAGATTGTGAAGAGAATTTTTACCCACTTAGTAGAACATAGTATAAGTATTTAAGAAATAAACAATTACTATAAATAGTTTAATTACCAGTTATTTAGCCTAAGTTTTCAATATGCTAATCTTTCTTAACCATTTATTAAAGCAGATTTTCTACTAATAAACATTGATTTAGCTTAGTTTTTGAGGTAAGGTAGTGTGTTGATAAAAGCACTGAGTTTTGATTTAAAGTATCTGGCATCAAATTATGACTCTGTTACTTATTTGCTTTATGGCCTTGGCCAAGTCATTTCATCCTTCTGGACCTCAGTTTCCTCATCTATAAAACAAGAAGTTTGGACTAAATGATCCTAATGGGCGTTTTAACTTTAAATTCGATGATCCTAGTTACTCCATTTACAGGAAACAAACGCATATTAATTTAAGCATCTGATAAATATAATAAATAAATATCTCTGATAAATATATAAATAAATCTGATAAATAAAAATAGATTTATCAAAATAGATGAACTGGTATGTTTACTAAATTTGCAAAATGATTCTTTGCTTTGTAAAATGGATTCTCTGACTCAGGGTCCCTTTCTTCCTTTAAGACACACTCAGATACCACCTAATACCAACTGCTAGTGCCCTCTCTCCCAAACTTCCTTTTTATATGTATATCTGTATATAAATATGCCTATATAGACATATGTATATATTTATTTATTTTACATTTATCATTATGTATGTTATGTATATTACTACCTCTGCACACACATATATTATATATGGTATAATATATACTATATATTAGGTATGTGTGTAATATACGTTGGGGCTGTTAGGTGGTACAGTGGATAGAATGCTGAGCCTGGAGTCAGGAAGATTCGGCTTTCTAAGTTCAAATCTGGCCTCAGGCATTTACTAGCTGTGTGACCCTGGACAAGTCGCTTAACCCTTTTGGCCTCAGTTTCCTCATCTGTAAAATGACTTGGAGAAGGAAATGGCAAACCACAACAGTGTCTTTGCCAAGAAAACCCCAAAGAGGTCATGAAATTTTAGACACAACTGAAAAATGACTGAACAACAGCATATTATATATAATATGTATGTTATAATGTAAAGTGAAATATGTAACTGTACTTGTTATCTCCTCTATTAGAATGTAAGCTCCTTGCAAGTACAAATTATTTCATCTTTGTCTTTGTAATCCCGTCACATAGCACAGTGCCTGACATGGATAAATGCTCGTTTATTGTTTCATCTTTTCCTTTGTATCTCTGGTACCTAACACAGTACCTTGCATATAAACAGATGCTTGGTAAATATTTGTTGATTTGATTTGAATTGTCACACAGCTAAGTAGCAGAAATGATATTCAAGCACAGTTCTGACTCTTTCCAGTGTGCTCTTTCCCCTACTGCATACCACGTAATATCTCTATAAATTAATCTATGAATGGAAAAGAGTACTTTGCAACTTCAAAAGGCTTTCTTTTGTTCTTACATTCTAACAGCAGAACAGGTGATTGCAGGCAAAGAGTGACAGCTAAAGACGTAGAAGCATCCTCTTCTAGACTGCTTGTGTTTATTATTTTACCTGGCTAGCCTTAGCCATCAGTTTCTGAGCTTCAAGCATGAAGGCCTCCTCGCCTGGTAGTTGTAGTCACTATTTCAGGTATACATTTAAATGAAATTTGTCAGTTCAATTTGAACTATCAGTGTGAGGGAAAGTTTTGGTTCTCAAAGAGGAACTGAATTATAAAGTGTTTGGGTTTTGTTTTTTGGTTTTTTTTTTTTGCTTGTTTTTAATTATGTACTTTTTCTGACTTACTAGGCAAAATTTATAAATAAAAATAGCAAGTATCCAGAAATGAACTTTGATTGATATTATTCTTGTTTCTTCCTAGAGAGCAATTGAACTGAATCCTAAAGATGCCACCTCAGTTCACCTTATTGGTCTTTGGTAAGCTTTTTTATTTTTTACTTTTTTCAGTTTTTTTAGGAGATTTTTTCTTTTATTCTTTTTTTTTGTTTTGTTTTTGTTTTGGTGAGGCAGTTGGGGTTAAGTGACTTGCCCAGAGTTGCACAGCTAGTAAATGTCAAGTGTGTAAGGCCGGATTTGAACTCAGGTCCTCCTGACTCCAAGGCCAGAGCTCTATACACTGTGCCACCTAGCTGCTCCCAATCATTTCTTTTAATACAAGAGTTTTCCATCATAATCACATACCACAACTTGTTCAGCCATTCCCCAACTGATGGGCATCCCTTCAGTTTCTACTTCTTTACCCCCAGAAAAGAGCTGCTATAAATATTTTTGTATGTATAGGTTCTTTTTCTTTTGGGGATATAGAACTAGTAGTGGTATTGCTAGGTCAAAGGGTGTGCATGATTTTATAGTCCTTTGGGCATAGTTCCAAATTGCTCTACAGAATGGTTGAATCATTTCACAACTCCACCAGCAGTGTACCACATTCCCTCCAACATTTGTCATTTACCTTTTCTGTCGTTATTAAGCCAATCTAATAGGTATGAGGTAGTACTTCAGAATTGTTTTAATTTGCATTTCTCCAATCAATAGTGAGTTAGAGTATTTTTTCATATGGCTATAGATAGCTTTGATTATTTCATCTGAAAGCTGATCATATTTTTTGATCATTTATCAGTTGGACAATGGCTCTTATTTTTATAAATTTGACTCCGTTCTCTATATATTTGAGAAATGAGGCCTTTATTAGAGAAACTTGCTTCACATTTTTTTTTTCACAGTTACTATTGCTAACTGTATTTCCCTCTATCCTATCCCTCCCCCCCGCATTTATTTTATTCTTTCTCTTCTTTCATCTTGTCCCTCCTCAAAAGTGTTTTGCTTCTGACTATCCCCTCCCCCAAAGCTTTTTTATTTAAAGAAACTTGTTTTGGTGTATTTTGTAAGTAAATTCCATATTCTGAAGTATATAAAAAGCATAATTTGAAAGTACTCTTTAAAAAAATGATTCCGTATCTGCAGGTTAAATCCTAGAGAAATATTAAACTTGGTTATAAAATCATGTGTTTTCTTCCTGTCTTCTCCAGCAAATTGCCTCCACAGCCATTCTCTCTCCTCTGTAATCTTGGGTTCCTTCCTTTCTACTGGTTCCTTTCTTATAAGCAAGTCTTAATCTTCCCTATCCTTAAGCAACTCTCACTGTAGACTCCCATTCCCTTTAAGTAATTGTCTTGTATCTCTCATCTTTTTCACAGCCAAACTCCAAAAATATTTGTCTTCATTTGTTGCCTTCATTTGGTCTCTTGCTTACTTCTCAACCCTTGGCAGTCTGTTTTCTGATCTCATTCACCTCTTAATTGCCAAATCTGAGGACTTTTTTCTCAGTTCTCACACTTATTGCCCTCTCTTCCAGGATACTGTGTCTTTTGGGTTTTTGTGACACAGCTCTCTTTGGTTCTCCTATCTGGTTTACCACTATTTCTCAGTGTCTCTTGCTGGCTCATCATCCATATCATGCTTCTTTACTGTGAATGTATTCCCAAAGCACACTTCTGAGCCCCTTTTTCACTCTAGACTCTTACTTGGTGACCTCATTGGTTTCCATGGGTTTACTCATCTCTGTGCAAATGATTCTCAAATTTATATATCCAGCCTTCATATCTGTCCTGACCTCTAGCCCTGAATTGCCAATTGCCTTCTGAACATTTATGTTAATGATACCATCATCCTTCTAGTCCCTCAGGCTTGTAATCTCCATGTTATCCTTGGTTCCTTACTTTCACTCACCCACCATATCCAATGATTTGCTATATATCAATCTTTTGTTGACTGTTATTGTTTATATTATCCATTTCCTTGCAAAAATGGGGATTTTTATCATCTCTACAAAATTGTTTCCAACTTGACCACTTTGTTTGATTTTTAGTATTTTCTCTCAAACATTTCATATTCTTCTACCACAATTCACAACAAGGGCAAAGATTGGATACTATCATTTATTTTCTTATGATGAAAGATAGGAAAAAGGACCTTATGAGTTGATTTTGGTTCATTGCTGGATTTGCTTGATACTTTCAGCATCAGCACCAGTGTTAACTTAGTAGAAGTGTGTGAAGAGTAATAAGTGAGGCAAACAAATCACTTGAAGGGAAAAAAATTTTGAGTTTATACTATAAAATCTTTAAGATGCATTAGATTTTGGGGCAAAATGATTGCTAAAGTAGTTTGGTTACTTTTTAATGTTATTTTTTCCCCTCTAGGTGTTATTCATTTGCTGAATTGCCTTGGTACCAAAGAAACATTGCTAAAGTGTTGTTTGCAACTCCTCCCACTTCCACATTCGAGGAGGTAATGTAATGTCTTTTGTTCAGTTCATTTATTGTGGAATTCTTACCCATATCTTCATTCTAGAGGATACACAGATCACAGAATCACAAAATCACAGAGTCGGAGGAGACCGCCTAGTCACAGTCATACCCGAAAAAGATTCTCACGGCACCACACTCAGATGCAGGCAGAGGCCGCTGCAGGACCAGGCATTGTTTGGCAGTTTTAAGGGAGCAGGGGCCCTACTTGGGTACAGGTCATGGTTCAAAGGCAGAGAGGAGCAGTTGTGATTGTGAGGGAGAAGGAGGCCCCACCTGGTTAAGGGCCAGAGCACAGATTAGGAGGGCAGTGACTAGAACTTTACCCAGATGACGCCTTGGAAGCGCTGAAAACTTACAGACTCTCAGACTTAATTGTAAAAGTAGCTGGACGTGGAAGTCAGAAGATTGGGCCAGATATTCTTCCACCCCCAAGGTGAACAGAGCCCAACTCTGACCTAAAGTCTAAAGTTAAGAAATAGGCTGGAAAAATGAGCAAATGACCAAAAAAAAGAACTTGATCGTAAAAAGCTCCTGTGGCAACAGGGAAGCTCAAGACACAGACTTGGAAGAAGACAGGGACTTGAAAACATTTACAACCCAGTTCTCCAAGCAAAATGCAGATTGGACACAGTCCCAGTAAGAATTCCTAGATGAGCTTAAGTGAGTTTTTTTTTTCCAAAGAGAAAAAATAAATTTGAAAATCAATAGTGATAGAGGAAAAATTGGTAAAAGAAATGAAAACAATGCAAGGAAATTATGAAGAGACAATAGCTTGGTAAAAGACAAAAAATCCTGAAGAAAATGACACCTTAAGAATCAGAATTGGCCAAATGGTTAAAAAAAAAAAAAAAGGTACAAAAATACTGAAGAAAATAACTCCTTAAAAATCAATTTTGGCTAAGTAAAATAGGCACAAAACTTCATGGAAAAAAATAATTCCTTAAAAATTAAAATTGGTTGGGGCACCTAGGTGGCAGCAGTGCATAGAGCACAAGCCCTGGAGTCAAGAGGACCTGAGTTCAAATCCAGCCTCAGACACTTGGCACTTACTATCTGTGTGACCCTGGGCAAGTCACTTAACTCCATTGCCTAGCCAAAAAAAATTTTTTTTAATTGGTCAAGTGGAAGCCAGTGACGACTCAATACAATAAGAAAAGATTGAAGAAAATGTGAGATTACATAGGAACAACAACTGATCCTATCTGAAGGTCATGATAAAAAAAAGAGCCTGGACATATTTCAAGAAATTATAAAGGAAAACTGCCCAGGTATTTTAGTACGAGAGAGAGAAATAGAGGTTGAAAGAATCCTCTGTTCACTTCCTGAGAAAGATTCGATAATAAAAACTCAGAATGTTGCAGCTGTATTTCAGAGCTCCAGGTCAAGGAGAAAATCCTGTAAGCAGCCAGAAAAAAAACCAACAACAAACTAGAAGTCTTTCCAATGTGATCAGTGGTAAAGCACGGATGTCCATTATCGCCATTATTATTCAAAATTGTATTAGAAATGTTAGCTACAACAGTGAAGACAAGAAAAATAAAGGAATAAGCATAGGCATTGAGATAGCAAAACTATCACTTTTTGCAGATAATATAATAGTGTACTTAGAGAACCCTATAAAGTCAACTGAAAAACTAATTGAAACAATTAACAACTTTAGCAAAGTTGAAGGATATAAAATAAACCCATACAAATTGTCAGCATTTTTATATATTTTCAATAGGAACAGATAAATTCCATTTAAAATAACTACAGATATTATAAAATACTTGGACCTTTGCTTGCCAAAATACACAGCAACTATATGAACACAATTGCAAAACACATTTCACACAGGAACATCTAAATAATTGGAGAAATGTTCATTGCTTATGGGTAGGCCAAGCCAATATAATAAAAATGACAATACGGTATAAGTTAATTTACTTGTTCGGTGCCACACCATTAAAATTGCCAATGAATTACCTTATAGAGCTAGAAAAAGTAATTTAAAAAAAGTCATCTGGAAGAACAAAAGGTCAAGACTATTAAAGGAATCAGTGAAAAAGTAATGTGAAAGAAGAGGGCCTAGCAGTACCAGATCCCAATCTATATTACAAAGAGATAATAATCTAAATAATTTGGTTCTGAATAAGAAATAAAGTGTTTGATTAGTGGAATAGGTTATGTACACACTATACAGAAGCAAATGAGCATAGTAGCCTAGTGTTTGATGAACCCAAAGATCCCAACTATTGGGGTAAGAACTTAATTTTGACAAAAATTGCTGGGAAAACTGTTAAGTAGTCTGGCAGAAACTAGACATAGACTAGTATTTCACACCATATTCCAAAATAAGCTCAAAATGGGTAAAGAATTTAGACATAAAGGGTGGTATAATCAAATTAGGGGAACACAGAAAAAATTATCTGTTAGTTCTATGAATAGGGGAAGAGTTCATGACCGAACGAGATAAGTTCATGGGAGATAAAATGAATAATTTTGATTACATAAAATTAAAAAGTTTTTGCACAAACAAAACCAATGCAGCCAAAAATTAGAAGACTAGCAGGAAACGGGAGTGGGAGGGAGGGAATATTATAGCAAATTTCTCCAATAAAGGTCTCATTTCTCAAATATGTAAAGAATTGAGCTAAATTTAAAAAAAAAATAACAGCCATTCCCCAATTGATAAATGGTCAAAGGACATAAACAGGCAGTTTTCAGAAGAAGAAATCAAAGCTACCAATAATCATGAAAAAAATTTCTCTAAGTCACTAATAGAAAAATTAAAATTAAAACAACTCTGAGGTACCACCTTACACCCTTCACATTGGCTATGATGACAGAAAATGAAAATGACAAATGCTGGAAGCAATGTGGAAAAAGAAGTACATGCACTTGCAGAGCTGTGAACTTGTCAGATCATTCTGGAAAACGATTTGTAACTAAATCCAAACAGTTATATATAAAACTGTGCATGACCTTTCACCAAACAATAGTACTACTGGGTCTGTACCCCAAAGAAATCCAAGAAAAAGGAAAAGGACCTGAGTGTACAAAAATATTTATAGTAGCTCTTTTTGAATTGGAAACTGAGAGGTGCCCATCACTTGGGGAATGACTGAACAGATTATGGTATATGAATGTAATGCAATACTATTTTGCTATGGGAAATGATAAAGGAGATGGTTTCAGAAAAACTTGAGAAGACTTACATGAACTGTTGCAAAATGAAATAAGCGGAACTAGTAGAAGAACAGTGTAGACAGCAGTATTATAAAGATTGCTGTGAATCTTTGTTTTGATGTGAAACAGTATCATGAAAGACTTAGTAACCGATCAGTGCAGTGATCTTCTACAACACCAAAGGACTCATGATGTAAAATGCTATCCACCTCAAGATAGACTGATGGACTCAGAGTGCAAATTGAAGCATTTTTTCCTTTATTTTTCTTGCTTTTCTTCCCCCACCCCCAGAACATGGCTGTTGCAGAAATATATTTTGTATGACTTCATATTATTATGGGTGGGTGAAGGAGGGGCAGAAGAGGGAGAAAAAAGAATTTGGAACTGAAAATAAAAATATGGAGAACAGTCCATTCTAAGAAGAAAAGTTGGAATATAAGACTGTTTCATTGCTATAAGAATGGAGACATAGGGGGTAGCTAAGTGGTGCAGTGGATAGCGCACTGGGCCTGTAGTCAGGAGGACTTGAGTTCAAATATGGCCTCAGACCGAACACTTGACACTTACTAGCTATGTGACCCTGGGCAAGTCATTTAACCCTAATTGCCTGAAAAAAAAAAATGGAGACATAGATTTAATAGTACCTTTAAAACAACTTTTAAAATATTTTTCTCCTTAAACATTTTTTTTTCCTTTAACAGGCTCTAAAATACTTTCAAATGGCAGAACAAGGTAATGTTTTTGGTCAAATATATATACATACACACATACATGTATATATTAGACATTTAAATACAATACATGTTTAAAATTGTGAGAATATGTAAAAATGTATGTGATTTCTTTAACAATTCATTCTCCATATTTGATGCATTTCACTAATTTTTTTTGTTCAAAATGTTTTATGGCTTTAAAGTTAAACTTAGAGAAAAGCCTGAGTGGAAATCATGCTTCTTTTGAATTAAGAATCCAGAATTTTGAGGTTGGAAGATATTTAAACATCAGTACTTCCAATTTCTCATTTTACAAATGAGGAAACAAAGGTGCAAATGTCCTTACTTAAATAAATCAGATGCAGAGTTGATACCAGAAACCAGGTCTTTTGACATCCTGGCTAATGCTTTTCCCACTTAAACAATGCTAATTTCTTTTTGAAAGAAAAGTATTAAAAAATTTTATTTAAAAATCAATCAAACATATATTAAAAGCCTACTGTTGGCAAAACATTGTGTTAGGTTCTAGAGATATAAAGACAAAAACCAGTCTCTGCTCTCAAGGGAATTATGTTGTACTGTAAAAAGAATGAAGAAAATTAGCTGTAAAATTATGACAGACTTCAACTTACAAATTATCCTCATGATAGTGGAATATACAACACATAACTATAAACTTAAGAATCTTTACATGGAAATGTATAGATGACTTCAGATGACTAACACAGGTAAAGTTCCAGATCACTCACAGAGTACAGAGCAAATGGGATCAATCACAGATTTATTTCTGGAGGTTGGTTTTGAGTCTAGTTTAAAGGAGGGACTCATTGTTAAGAAGATTATATAGCAGAACAGAGGTGGAAATTAGTAAGCTGTACATGTGATAAAGAATTCAGGTTTCAGTGAGTAGGCTTAGCACCTTAAGCGTGAGTTTCAAATCAATAAATAATAAAGTTAGTGAGAGTAGGCAGGTATGACTCCTCATGAATGATAGTCCCAATAAAAGAAAAACTGTATAATACCCATCTTGTTTACTGTCTCTTAGTATAATGTGCTGACGTGTATACCAGAGCCTGTGTTAAGTGCTACGAAGAACGATGGACCAGGAACCAGTAAATCTAGTCACAGACTGGCCATCTGTATCCTTAAAAGTCACTTACCCTCCTCAAGCTTTTTGTTGCCTCATTTGTACTTCTTTGAACTTATATAATCTTTCTTTTCTAACCACTGCAGCAACTGAAATTATGTCTATTAAGATTCACCCTGAAAGTGGAATATTCAGTTCAGAACAGAGAGATGAGAGAGCATGAAGTAATAAAACTGCTTTCTGGTCACACTCAGAACCACTTTGGCCTCAGTGGTGGTCATCTGAGAAGTGTGGTTTGTTTTGTTTTGTTTCACATATTACATTGAGTTGTTTGGTCACAACATGTCTAACACAACTGATGTGGATGTTTTGGCCAAAATTATAATTTTCCCAGAAATGCTTTTGATGTAAACAGTTGAATAAAAAAAAGAACTACAGCAGTATGCTCCTTGCACATGAAAGTCATTAACCTGTTCATGAAATTTAGACAGAAAATCCATAGTCTTTACAAATCAAAACAGTGTGACTGCTACCAAATTGAGGTGAATATGTTCTTTCTTCTGTGTTCAGTGCATCCAAACTTCTACAGCAAAAATTTGCTTTTCTTGGGAAAGACTTATCTGAAGTTAAAAAACAAAAAGCTTGCTGCCTTCTGGTTATTGAAAGCCAAGGACTACCCAGCTCACACAGAGGAGGACAAACAGGTAAAAAGCTAAAGAGCTGACAAAGAGGTTCCCCTCTTAAGAAGAAAAGAAAATGTAGAATCTGAGTAATAGATTAGAGCTAATTACACATCAGGTCTTAACATACTTGAATGAATTAGAACTGAGCCTTGTATTTTTTTAAAATCATGAATCTGATTAAGTGCAATAGTAGGCATTTCACAAATTACATTTAATGGTCTTTTACACTCTGGTTTCTATATGAAAAATCCTTAGTTGTTATGATTAAACATATTTTAACCAAAAAAGAATTACTTGATATAGTATAGGATAATTTCACTATTTAGCGTACTACTTTACTAAACTAAAGAACAACTAGTAATAGTGTGAATGAGGTGTCATAGCCATATACTGCCATAGAGAGTAAAAAGTGTTTTGAAGGAGTTGTATTTATTCATTGCCAAGAGACAGAATAAAATAATAGATTTGGTTGGTATGGGAACTCTTGGAATATACTGACCATTGTTGTAAATTTAATTAATTTTCACCACTTATTTGTGAAAGAGTTAAAAGAGGCAGGACATAACAGAGTGGGTAGACTGTTGAATTTAAAGTGAAGAAGATTGAGGTTCACATATTAGTTATGAGACTGTGGAAAAATCATTCAATCTTTCTAAGCCTAAGGAAATTCTGTGAATCTATTAATTACGTGTACAAACCAGTTGTAATCTGTGTTGGTATAAGGAGCTCCCCTACAAACCATAGGTACTTGATGCATTGATATACTTATGAAAGAATAGTGTTGAGCTCAGAATGTTGAGTTGTATTGCTGTTTCTCATTTTAGGTACAAAAAGAAGCCGCCGAGCTGCTCAAATCTGTTGGAGACAAGAATTGAGAACTTTTACTTAGAATAAAGCAGCACATGAAAGATTCCTGATAAATGTCTTTTCATTGAGTTAACCATGTCACAGCTAGTCCAGCTGCTATCACTAGCTGATAAGCAAGGCAAGTATTAGGCATTCCAGCTTCCAGTCTTGACAGGAAAAGTAGTCTTTGATGATGGGAAGTGTAAACTGTATGGGAAAGTACTGAGACAGAATGGAAGTGCTCACTGTCCAAGTAATGGTTTTTCAGTGGAAACTCCATCCATAAACATTTAGGGCAGGGGTCATGTGTGAGAAGTGCCATATAAGAAGCAACTTGGGATATAACCAGTTAACCAAAACGATGTCTTGAAAATAATAATCAGTAGTCAGTAAACATTTGTTAAGTGCCTATTGTGTACCAGGCACTGTGCTAAGTACTGATTTCAGCTAAAGTGGTGCTTTTGATGCTCAAGATTTTTGTCAGTAAGTATTAATTATCCTAGTTGTCTCTGCCATTTTAAGTGTATAACCTTAATTGTGTAACTATTCAACAATTATCTGTCCATTAATAAATCAAGTTTCATTGGATAAGATTGAATTCTTGTGTAGCATTAACTAGAAACATACTTTAATTCAGTAGCTGTTTTTTCCTGTGTAAACTACAAGAGAAATGAAAAGAATTTAGTAACTGCTCTACATGGAGGAAATGGAAAGATGATTAAATTTGGTACAAACCTGAACTACTTTATCAAATTCCAAACAGGCTGCTGTCCAAATGCACACCATCTTAACCAATTATCATTTAATATTTTCACAGTATAGCTGCCACTTATTTTTATGAAATGTGGATCACCAGTAATCATGAGTAGAAACCAGAACTCTTAATTCTCCAGTAATTTAATGATTTTTTAACCACTTCAGCAGTTATTAGGCATCTACTGTGTGCACCTTGCTCTAATTAGTACAAGGTTAAATATGAAGTTAAGCCCTGGTACCTGTCCTCTTATATCCTTTCCACATTGCAATTTTCCCCATCGCAGTTGTGACATATTGCAGGGTCAGCATAAGAAATTAAATAGAAATTTGGGGGGAGTTTTGTAGAAGTGACAGATAACACGCGAAGACCAGTGAACCCACAAAAAGTTTAGAAACTTAGAAATGCATAAAATATGTGTATAGTATTGCATAATATCAACATATTTTATCTTTTAATACCATAAGTATAGTTTCTTTTTTAAAGTTAAAATAAGTAAAAAGTTAAAGTTTGCGAAAAGAAATGTGAAAGCCAGCAGGTTACACACAAAGGCTAGTAATTTTACTTAACATTGACCTACATATAGCCTATGACAGGGGTGGGGAACCTGTGGCCTTGAGGACATATATGGCCCTCTAGGCCATCAAGTGTGGCCCTTTGAATCCAAACTTCACAGAACAAATCCTGCAGGCTCCCCACCCATATAAAAGGTTTTGTTCTGTGAAGTTTGGATGCAGTCAAAGGGCCACTCTTGAGGACCTAGAGGGCTATGTGTGACCTCAAGGCCGCAGATTCCCCATCTCAAGGCTGCAGATTCCCCACCTCTGACCAAATACTTAACCCAAAATTTACAATAAGATACTGTAAACACCCCAAAAAGAAGAAATTCAGACTTCTCTGGTATGAAGGGAGGACCAAAAAATTTTACATGTGGTCAGATTGCTGGGGCACCATATTCCTAGACCTCATGATATGGAAAGGATAATTGTAGTTTATAGTCTAGTGATGATATTGGGTACATATGCACCACGATCCTTTGTTAATTGTAGTGCACATTATTACATACATGTCTTTATTGTTATTGTACAGTCATTTTCAGTTGTGTTCAACTCTTTGTGACCCCATTTGGGTTATTTTTGGCAAAGATACTGGAGTGGCTTGCCATTTCCTTCTCCAGCTCATTTTACAGATGAGGAAACTGAGGCAAATAGAGTTAAATGACTGGCCCAGGATCACACAGCTAGTAATTATCAGGTGTCTGAGGCCAGATTTGAACTCAGGAAGATAAGTCTTCCTAACTCCTGGCCCAGCACTCTATCCACTGTGCCTGCATATCCTCTATCCTCTATCCTCTCCCTCTGAATCTAGTGCTCCTGCCAAAATATCCCTTTGAGCTCTAGAAGCAAAGATAAACCAGTGCATTTCAGGCCTCTTCCTGGGTGCCTCAAAAACAGCAATTTTGGAAAAGTGAAAATATTCATATGCAAGCTTTAGAAAAGCAGAAAACAATGTTTTATGAGATCCCAAGGGGAAAAGATTATCAACCAAGAGTTTTAAAGGAGAAATAGACAAAGGAGGCAAAAACAGGGCTTTTTAGTACTGGGAGGAGCATAACCAAAGGCATAGAGATGGAAATACATTTATTCAACAAGCACTACTACACACAAAGGATGGTGTTCAGGACTAGGGGAAACACAAAAGAGGTTCCCCTCCTACAGCTAACAGTTGAGTAGAGTGACAAGCACTAAGCACAGTATAATACTATATAAGTGTATTTGAGAACTACAGAACAGTGATATGTGAGGGCCAACGGGGACAGTTCTTACTAAACAGGAATCACAGAAGTCTGTGGGAAGGTGGGGTTTTTATCTCCCCTCAGCTAAAGATTAAGTAACAAAACAGAAGACAAAGAGATGGCATCATTTATACCAAAAGTGTCAAACTCTACATCCACTAAGGAATATGGCAGAACCAGATAAAATGTAATTGAGAAATGTTTAACAAAAATACAACATGGAAATAGTAACGTGTGGTTTTTGAAGTCAGTATGTGGGAACAAGGATCCATTTCTTTCTCATTTCTACACCACAGCTTTATAACCACTTCTCCTTTGTTAATAATGTGTTCCAATCTACTCAATCCCATCATGTGCTTCTTTTGGGTTAACTGCAATTTGAATTCCTTGAAGATCACCATATTTCATGGTTCCTAGTCGTAGTGTCACTAGAAAAATATTGGTATTTAAAAACAGGAAAATGATAAATGTTGGAGAAGATGTGGAAAAATTAGAACACTAATGCATTGTTGGTGGAGTTGTGAAATCAACCATTTTGGAGAGCAATTTGGAACTATGCCCAAAGGGCTATAAAAATGTGCATATCCTTTGACCCAGCAATAGCACTTCTAGGGCTATATCCCAGAGAGATCATACAAATGGGAAAAGAACCCACATGTACAAAAATATTCAAAACAGCTCTTTTTGTGGTGGCAAAGAATTGGAAATTGAGAGGATGCCCATCGATTGGAAAATAGCTGAACAAGTTGTGGTATATGAATGTAATGGAATACTATTGGGCTATAAGAAATGATGAACAGGCTGACTTTAAAAAAATCTGGAAAGACTTGTACGGTCTGATGCTGAGTGAAGTGAGATGAACCAGGAGAATGTTGTATACAGTAACAGTCACGTTGTGTGATGACTAATATTGATAGACTTTTCCCTTCTCAGCAATACAAGGATCTAAGCCATCTCCATGGGCCTCATGATGGAAAATGCTGTCCACAAAGAAGAAAGAACTATGGAGTTTGAATGCAGATCGAAGCATACTATTTGCTATTTTTTTTCCTTCTGTTGCGTTTTGTTTCCTCTTTATGGTGGTTCCTCCTATTGATTCTAATTCTTACCTACAACATCACTAATGTGAAAATATGTTTAATAGGAATATATATGTATAGCCTATATCAGATTGCATGCCATCTTGAAGAGGGAGGTAGGAAGGAAAGGGGAGAAAAATTTAAAACTCAAAAGTTTATGGAAGTGAGTGTTCATCATTCAAAATAAATTAAAAATTTTTAACAAAGAAAAATATTGGTATTGAAAAGGTAGATCTTTGTTTCAGTGAGAAGCTTAAGCTTAAACATGCTATAGTTTCCCAAAGTCAATCCAGCCTGCTGTCTTCCTCCTGTTCACTTCTGGGACTATATCATTGTCCATTTGATCTTTTTGTCCAAGATACATTCACTAATGGACCAGTACTCTTCTGCACAAAGAATGAATGAAA